CCGCTGTGTGCGGCTACCAAGGCCGCTGCTGACTGCGGCGAACTACGACATGCGACTGCCCGCTGCTGAAGAGGAACAGTTACGACATGCTGCTGAGAGTTGGGCGTGGACTGAGCCTGTTGGCTATGAGTGAGCTCGTGTTAACTACTGAGAGATCGTCATCAGCTACTGTTGACCGCGACGCACTGCCGCACGCCACAACCGACCGGTTGCTAGCTATTACGGCCTGTGAGGAGGGGGCGTTTGGACTGAGTTGGGGAGGGAGAGTGGAGGCTGCGGATTGCGCGGTCAGCAGAAGGGGTTGACTTTGACAGACTGACGTCGGACATTTGATCAAGCTGTTACAGCTGGTCGCCATTTTGGGGCCCTCAGGCGCTGAAGATTTCAAGGCCTTCTCCTGCGAGTCTRAGTGCAACTCCCCTGAATTTGAGAGTCCTAAACCCCCTTCTTCTGCCCTCTTCCCTTTAAAGTCTAGTCTATTGGTTCTGAGAGGAAGGTGGCAAGCGGGCGTGTGACCCGTGACCCGYGCCTGAGCCTTTGTGGGAGGTTGCCCCACCGATTGCGGGAGCTCTGCCGGGACTCAGGCGGAGTCCTGGAGGCAGGGAACTGAGTGRTAAGCCCTTGACTCCCTCTATTAGCCCAACTATAACCCCTACCTGTACATTTCTCTATGTTTGACTGAGTGTATTGTCTGGATCCTGTACGTTGATTTTGATTTGACTGCCAGGACTTAAGTCAGGCTGAAGTAAAGGAGTGTGTGTGCAATCTCAGTTTCAGTTTTGTTGATTGCCTGAAAGCAGACTATGAATGAGATGGGTTGCATCTGGGGAAAGGTTGGGAGGAAGGCAGTATTGTGTGCAGTTTGACTGGGTCATTAAGGCTGGGAGGTCCCCTTAAGTTTGGGGAAGCCCAGCGCTTTGTTTATTTTTGGTTTGCATGGAGCCTCAGACCGCTCTATAAGTTTAGGTAGCCTGAAGCTCTKGAGGYTGGGATGTYCTCATAAGTTTGGGGAGACCTGGTGCTGTGACTTGCTTGGAGGGTCAGGACGCTCTATAAGTTTAGGTGTCATGGCTGTTCTGACTTGTGGGGGTTTGACTGTGGGTGGCTTTCAGGAACCCAAAGCGCTCTATAAGTTTAGGTACCTTGGGTTGCCTTGTTCTATTTGGGGTTTTGTYAGTTTCTTTGGTTCTGAATAAGGAGGTCCGAACCGCTCTATAAGTTTAGGTGGTTCAACCCTTCTCTTGTTTTGTTMTGARGGAGTAATTGTGGCAAGGGACAGGCCGCTCTATAAGTTTAGGTAGCCTGTCCCACTGCCTCGCACAGATTGGACCAGAGAGAAACGAACCTGGCTGAGGATCAGACCGCTCTATAAGTTTAGATAGTCYGACCCAATRCCTCGCAYATGTTGGAACCCAATGGRTATAACTTGGCTATAKTGTATCTGCTATGCTATTATGAACAGGCTAGTAAGGYTGCTCTATAAGTTTAGGTGGCCTGACTATAGCTTATCACAACTAAGAGAGTATAATTAAGAGATATAATTGGAGGTAAACTTGGGYAGGCTGAGCAATGTTCTAMGTTGAGCGRCTSWGCCTTATGTCCCTTTGAAGACTAAGTTCAGAGAGGTATATATAAATTGGCTATTTAAACAGTTCAGGGCGACTAGAGTGGTCTAGYCATATGCCCAAAGAAGAGAGAAGTAGTTGTGCYCTCTRTTTGTGTATAYTTGRCCGAGTCAGAACGCTCTATAAGTTWAGGTATTCTGACTTTAGGCCTGGCTAAGTTGGGTGCGCTCTGTAAGTTCAGGTGCCCTGACCTATGCCTTATGTAAGTTGGGTATGAGGRGATAACTCACTGAAAGGTCATGAACTATAGTTTGCTCAGATTGGCTTGGGGATGGTGAGAGTACTTACCTTTGTGGTCTGGCCTGCATGTGGCTAAGTGAAGTTACTACTTGGTCTGGGTTTCAGGTTGACAGGTAGTTGCTTTAGAGGCTCACCACGTGCTAGAGCGATAGGAAATAGGTCAATTCGTGCATTTTCTGAGCTAAGTTTTTTTTTTTACTTAGATCGATTCTCGCATTTTTTAGGATCTTTTGTTATACTTGGCCTTGTATAAATCTTGGCAAGCRACTTTCTCTACGGGAAGCGCTGCCAAAATTTCTACAAATCCAAGGAATTAGTCAGCTTTTGACTTGTCAAAGTTCAACCTATCTACTCTCTATATCTGACTTAGTAAGAATTTTGGAAAGTCTCATTTTTCTAAAGGGAGTGATGCCCAAATTTTTGCTAATTCAGGAAGTTAAACAAAATTGAACTCTGAGAAGTCAAAGTTGTTTTCAGGTTTTGGACTCAGCTTTGTATAAACTTTGGAGTAACAATTTCCTAAAGAGAGTGCTGCCGAAATTTTTGCAAAACTAATGTCTAAATCGAACTCAAGTTGTCTTTTGAGTTCATATCTGACTTAGTATAAATCAGGGAAGTCTCCATTTTCAGAGAAAGTGCTGTCTAAATTTTTACTAATTTAGGGAGTTAGACAGAATTTGACTTTCCAGAGTTGGAGTTTATTTCTGCTTTCATATTTGGGCTGATATAAATTATAAAAAGACACTTTTCCTGCGGGAAGCGCTGCCGAAATCTCCTTGATTTAGAGGAGTTAGATTATATTTTGACAGGTGGCGATTCTCGCAATCCACCCTGGATAGGTGAGATTCTGCCATTAGTCTACCTTTGCTTTGGGCACTGGTTTAGAGGTAGACTTAGACTTAGTTGGCAGATAACTTTGGGAGAGAATGTGCTATGGAGGTTCATCCCCCATATGCTGATGATTTAGCTTGGGCACTTGACCTATCTTGTGTTACAGGTTCTTTGGGATGTCTGATTCAAGATCAGGACTAGATTCAGCTTAATCCCTTGGGGGTCATCTTCTGTTATCATTGATAACAGGTCGGTTGCCGATTCGTCGGTCTTCGACTCAATTTCAACTCATTCCCCATACTCAACCTAAAAGGTTTTAGCCCTGGTGGGTTTTACTGTTTGTTGAGGGTTTCACCCGGACTTTTATTGAATGACCATTTAACAAAGGTACTAAGCATTGAATTGAGGTTGGTTGGACTGGCAGTTGGGGCTTGCATGGCTAAAGCGAAGGGGTATGAGCATAGAGAATGGTTGGGGTTGACTCCGCGTAGTGCGTGTTTTGTCGCTTGATTCTTGGTGTGGTTGCAGGTACGTCTTGTGGCTCGGATTTGGATTTGGGTTGCCTGCACTCCATGTACATATACATGGTTGTGAGGAGTTCCACTGTGCCTGTGAGAAGTGATCGTCATAAGTCTATTCCCCTTCCGTATGTGTGCGTGGATATACGTATGATGAGTGTTTGGGAGGCCTAAGAGGCCATGTTAACAACCGCGTGAGAGTTGGGATTGAGGGACAGGGAAGACCCTCCCTTCTGCCTATTTGTGTCTTGGGGCTTTCTTAGTCGGACGTTGGTCCTGGGCCGGGATTCGAGGTCCTTGTCCAGGACATCCCAAGCCCTAGGCCCTGAAGAGGAGGAACCTCCCCTTGCATAGAGCCTATTTACTTTGGCCGGCGGGACACTCCACCTGAAAGGCGAGAACGTCGCGGGGACCGCACGACGTGTCCTTTAGCCGTTCAATATCGTGAGGGGTAACCCCTCGCGATGAGTTCCTTCAGCCATTCAATATCGCGAGGCCTAAGCCGCGGTTACCACATATGATTAGCATCAGTGGTTGGCATAGGGATGGCCTGCGGCCGCGCAGTTTTATATCAGAGCCCTGCGCGCGACGCCTCGCCGCCCCTGACGTCTAAAAGTTATGGGACCGCCGCGCTTGCGCGCAGGCGCAGCGCTTGGGATTATTATAGGCCGCCGACACCGCCCATAAAGGGGAAGTGCGTCCTAGGGCCATGAGTTTTTGTTTTAAGGACTAGGAAACCTTTGCCCTATTCCCCCTTCTTGGGTTCGTGCGAGTCTTGTTGCTTCTTAGAAATTTTTATGGTTGGACGTTGTAGTCCGTGGCAGCCCTCAAAGTCAAACCCCTTGACTTTCGCCCAGGCCCCGGGGAGGACTCACCCCTAGGGCCGCGAGAGACGATTACCACCACAGGAATGAGCCTGTGTACCACCCACTCTGCATAAGGGTGCAGAAGAGGGTGTGTGGTCTTCAACCGCGTGTGGCGGTTGTCCAACGTCGAGAGATTAACCCTCAAGGCGCTTGTCAGCCGACACTTGAGTGTCGAGCGTAACCCTCGAGATTAACGAGGACCGCACGAGTATGGGTACCACGTGGTACGCCATCGTTGCGACCGCTTGCGTGCGCTTGCATCGCGAGTCGATATGAGTTAGCCCTGCGTCCGCGCGATTTTTATGCTAAGTCTCGCGCGCGACGCCTATCCTATTTTCGCGTCGGGAAGTTATGGGTTGGCTACCGAGGGGCTAGGAGCGTTGCCGCGTTGTTTGCGTTGTGTCATTCCGTGTGTATGTGTGCGTGTTGTTGTCGTGTGGTTGTTAGAGTGGTGTGCGCGTGGGGTGTGGGATGCGTCCTAGTCGACCGACGGCGAGCCGCGCTTGGGACTTCAGCCCCCCAAAATGTCGGTTCGCGTGCGGGTCCGATAGGCGTATTACCGCGCGTACCCCCTATGGTACAGTGAACGAGAAACGCCCTCGGCTGGTCCACCTCTGCGATTGCAACCGAGTAGCTTTTGTATTGTGGACTGGTAGCTCGACGGGGATACGCCCAGCGAAGGGAGGTGACAGCTCCCGTAAGGTGAAGGTAAGTTGTGCCTCGCGTAGGCCCTATCCTGTCGTAGGGGCTCGCGAGAGGTATGGCTGGCGCACTCGGCCGGAGCGGCCTAAGGAAGCTCCTTTTGTGTGTTCGTGACGAGGTTGGTCCAACTCCTGCGTGACGTGGCCGAGAGGGTCCAACGCTGCCGCGCGCGGTGCCGGACCGATGCGTTCAACAGGTGGCACCGTTGCCGGGGATAACGGAAACCTACTGTTGTCCCTGGTGGAACGACATCCGGGTACGAGAGTGAGGGAACGCTAGGCATATGAGTGAGTAAAAGAGGGACTATGAGATGGACTGTACGATGATCTATATGATTGGGGGATGAATGATTGATTGATTAGCCGCTTGGTTGACAGCTGAGTGCTGTATGTGGATGAGGAAGTCCTATGGTAAGGATAAGCGTTATTTAGATGAGCCCAAAGGGGATGGGAGAAGGAATGCCTGCCAGGTCTAGAGTGTGGGGTGTCTAAGGTGGTCAACCCGACAGGGTCATGAAAGGTTGAGTCGTTGAGTGAGGTCCTCTGTCCCATCGTCTCTTATACCAGGAAGATTGAAGTCGAAGGCAGTGGGCAAGAATGCCAGAGGAGATGGCGGACGGTGGGAGGAAGCTTGTGACTCTCGATGACCTCATCGATGCTCTGGATAAACGCGAGAGGGCGCCGAGCAACGTCCCAAAGGTCGAGACATTCCACTTCAAAGGGGATCGGGTATCTGATTGGCTGGATCTGACAGAGCAGGCGTTGGTGGGACTGTCAGACGAGGTCAAGCTCCAGCGAGTCCTGAGGTATGTCCTGCATAGCCACCATCGGGAAGTAACTAAGGTTATGGATGCCGCCGGTGGCAGCTGGACAAAGTTTGGGGACCTAATGTGAAGGAAGTACAGGCTGGAAGACGGCTTGTTGACCATGGCCGACTTGGAGGCCATGAATAAGGAAGATTTCTCTACCATTGGGGCGTTCGTGCACGAGTTCAAGAAAAAGGCGAGGAAAGTGCACGGGATCTCTGAGGAGGCGCAGTGCGCCACATTTTTGGGGCTGCTCACAGGCTCGGAGGCCACAGAGCTGACGAAGTATGGGGAAGGAAGCGAAAGGCTACCTGGGCAACCATTGACAAGGGAGTGGAAGAAGGGAGCCTGGACCAGGTGGAGCAGCACCACATGAGGCTGCAAAGGTGTAAGAGGAAGGAGAGGGATGCTACCGCATCCGCGCCCCCAGGGGTGAAGAGGATCGTTACGGACGTATTGGCGGCATTGGGATATGATAACGAAGCAGAGATATAGAAAAGAGGGGTGCTAGTGGCCCAAGGACGGGCGTAAGGGGTAATGGATGAGGAGGCTGGGCAAGAAGACTACGGCGGAGGGGAGACAGGCTCCCAGGTCCTGACTAAGGCCCAGAGGAAGCAGCGCAATTTGCTGCAGGGAGGGCAGGGGTCGGGGAAGGGGCAGGCCCCCCAAGCCATTGCCGCACCGCCGCGTGTCTCCGCGGCCGCGTCAGCGTCAGCAGGACCATCGCATATGGGGCCACCACCAACTTGCGGGCACTGGGTGCCGCATTGTCAGTCCGCGCCCTGGCCCAGTTGTAACCACTGTGTTTCGTGTGGAGGGAGTCAGGCCCACTCGGGACACATGGTCCCCTATTCGGGCCCATCAAGAAGTATGGGCCCCCCGAGCTACCCCGCGTCTCAAAACCAGCCTGTGGCCCAACCGCCGCCCTCCCAGCAGGCCTCGCAAGCTAGTGTGGCCGGGGGAGGGGGCCAAGGACAAGGCGGGCAGGGCAATGGGGGCCGAAGTCAAGGGGGTAGAGGAGTGGGCGGCCGGGGGCGAGGAGGAAATGGTGGAGGCCGTGGAGGAGGCTGGAATGGTCAAGGGGGCGAGAACCAAGGTGGCCAAGGCAGCCAGGGAGGGGGCCAAGGGTATGGGGGCCCCCGCTTCGATTGGCGAAATGCAACGAGTTGGCATTGTGGCGAGATGGGCCACACTATACGGTTCTGCCAACAGCGGCGAGACGATGAGTTGGCGGGGTTAATCTCCTCATGCATGGGCGGAGATATATTCGATAGGTGGGGGACGCATATTGACCCTAGGACTCCGGGAGGGATTAGGCAAGAGGCCCTTAAGAGAGCAGCGACAGTACCGCCAGCAGCTCCAGCAATGTTTAGAATATGGCAGGAGAGGGAGGACCTGGGTGCGAGGGTCGAGGAGATTGTGGACGAGAACGAGAAAGTGACTCAACAACTAAAGGCAGGGACCATAAAGGAGGAACCCATAGTTATTGAGTCCGACGACGAGGAGGAGGAGGTAAGAGAGTCGGCCCTGACCATCCTGGAAAAGATGGAGGACCTGCTTGCAAAAGTGGGCAGGTACCAGGAACGGTTAAGGGTGATGTGCGAAGAGGCCCGAGAGTGGGAACTGAACCTCCCTGAGGTAATGCTCTATGGGTCCGGCCCGGAGTCATCGTCAGGGCCGCAAGGATGTCCAAGTGTGGCAACAGCTGGGGCAGGCCCTAAGTCAGGGATGACCTTTAGACCCCCCACGTCGCATGGAAGGGTGCCCCAGGCCACGCAGACTAGGGGCCAAAGCAAGGCTACCGCCAGTCAAGGGCCCAGCCAGGCACCCAGTCGGGCGCCCCCTCGAAAGGACCCTGAGCCCGAGCGAAGGAAAGAAGTGGTAGAGGTTCAAGAAGAGGAAGATGAGGGTGATGACGAGGAGGACGAGAGGCTCCAGCAGGAGGAGGACCGGAGAGCGGAACAGAGGGCCGAGAAGAGAGGGGCTCAGGGAGGGGCGGAGCCAAGCTTGCATGATGGCGTACCAAAAAGGAAAAAGTATGCACTCCGGCTGGAGGAGGGCTTTGATGTGGAGCGAATGGTGGACAAGCTCCTGGAGGGCCATAACGATCTGATAAATTTAAAAGACATTTTGGCCTCGGCACCAAGGCTCCGAGGCGAGCTGAAAGGGCGGCTCTCGCGAAGGTTAGTGCCCAATGTCCACCTGAGCTCAATTTTGCCCAGGGAGATAGAGTGGACAGAGGCGGGCACCATGATGGACTGGAAATGTGTGGCATGCGGGCTGGTGGATCTGAAAGTGAGAGACCAACCAAGCATCGCAATGGTGGACACGGGCGCGAAGATGAATATCATCCGGGAGCAGGACGCGACTATGTTAGGGCTGGACGTTGACCATTCGGACCATGGCGTGCTACATGGCGCCAACTGCAAGGCCATATTCCGTGGCACCGCGTCTAACGTGATGGTGGAGATCGGGAGGGTAAGGGCGCGAACGTGCTTCTTCGTCATGCCCGATGTCGACCACCCTATCCTCCTGGGGAGGTCATTCCTCTGTCGGACGGAGACCTTGGTCTTCAACAGACATGAAGGGACGATGATCCTGACCCTATCTGATCCGGCCTGTTGGAATTATGAAATCATCGAGTGTCGGAACACAGGGCCCGTAAGTGGGAGGAACAGGCTCAACCTCGGCTCCTTTACCTTTGAGGAGTCTGAGTACGTGCGACGAAGACTCCAGGAGGAGCAGGAGGAGGAAGGAGCGGGCGAAGTATTATCCTTGAGCCTTAATGATGTGAATAAGGCGAAGGAGGTGGTGGCGGCGCATGATATGGCGGACCCTTAGGCTATAAAGGTGTTGAGGGAGCAGGTCCTGGAAAGCCCTCAGGTAGGAGAGGTGGAGCTGATATATCGGCTTCCTGGGAGGAGAGGGGACCCTGCGATGGCCCAGGCCCGAACAACAAGTCGGCCTTTTTTAGGGGGGGGCTTAAGCAGGGTTCCCAAAGGCGGGTACAAGACTATAGACAAGAAGTGTCGCCCGGTCCCCGTGCTTGTCACGGAGGATGAGGAAGCCTACTACGAGCGAGAGCGGGGGCTGATAAGGCGTATGCGGCAGCGCGCGCAGGCAGTGTCGTGCCGCATCAACAATGAGAATGAGGAAGGGTTGATAATTGGCGAGCTTGGCTTCCTTTCGTCCCAGGAGAGGACCCTAATGGTGGAAACCATGAAGAGGAGGCATTGCGTGTATGCGTTTAATGACGACGAGCGTGGGAGGTTGGATGTGGATAAGATTCCAATGATACGAATTCATACCGTCCCACACAAGCCATGGAACTTGAAGGGCGCGCGATACCCGAATCCAGATGAAGAGAAGAAGGTGGTGGACTACCTGGACGGGAAGATGCGAACATACGTGGCAGATTACTCCAGTGGACCGTATGCCTCCCCTTGGTTTTGCTTTATCAAGCCGAACGGGACGTTACTGTGGGTGCAGGTTTTGCAACGATTGAATGTAGTAACGGTGCGGGACGCGGGAGGCTTGCCGAACGCAGACGCCCTGTCAGAGTCATGCGCAGGGAGGCCTATAATCTCACTTATAAACCTTTATTCTGGGTATGACCAGTTTCCTGTGTACCCACCGGATAGGTCGGATGGGCTGATCCACATGAACGTGGCGCCGCAGGGGTGGACTAATGCGGTGGCGACGGTGCAAAGGCACATGATTAGGGCCATGCAGACGGTTAGTCCATATATCACTCAGCCCTACATTGACGATTTGGTGGTTAAGGGTCCAAAGGAGAAGGAGGAAGACGAAGTGATGCCCGGAGTAAGGGGGTTCGTCTGAAAGCACGTCCAGGATATCGATCAGGTTCTGGGTCTGCTGGAAGAACACAACCTGACGGCGAGCGGCCCCAAGTCGAAGCACTGTATGAGGGAGGCCACGATTCTGAGCTTTGTCTGCAACGAGAAGGGGCGGAGGCCAGACGTGAAGAAAACGGATAAGATCCTAGAGTGGTCAGTCCCCTTCCAGTCAATAACGGACGTGAGGAGCTTCCTTGGGACCTGTGGGTTTTGGAGGAGTTTTGTGAAAGACTTCGCCACCAAGACTGAGCACTTGAGGAAGCTGGTGCGTCAGGATCAGGAATGGGTTTGGGGCAAAGACCATGAAAGGGCCGTAGAAGGGATGAAGAGAGAGTTCAAGGAAGGAGGTTTGGTGCTGGGGGCGCCGAATTACGAAGTCACGGATGAGAAACCATTCGTTGTCGAGACGGATGCTGGGCCAACTGCCCTAGGAGGGGTCCTGATTCAGACAGATGCGGATGGGAAGGAGAGACCGTTAAGTTTTGAAAGTCGTACCCTCAATACGACTGAGAGAAATTACTCCCAGTTTAAGAAGGAGACGTTGGCGGTGCTCCATTGCCTAAGGACCTTCCGCAACTACATCTTTGGCAGGAGGCTCATTTTGAGGGAGGACCCTACCGCGCTGACATGTTCCCTGAAAAGTTATACTCCATCTGATCCAACCATCGCGAGGTGGTTGACTTACATTTGGATGTTTAACTTTGAGTTGGAGAGGATTCCTGGGGATAAGAACAGGGCAGATGGGATGATCCGTATCAACTGGGATGGGGCGGGTCAAGAGTCGATTGAGGATACCCCACCAGCTGACGGGTTCTTGGATCAGGAGGAGGATGTCCGCCTCCACATAAATGAGTGGTCGCTGGGGGTGCCTAGCTGTGTCACGCATCCTATATGGCTAGCACCAAGGGGGTACGAGCAGAAGGAGAAGTTGGTCCTCAAGCCCTTCCAAGAAGAAGACCCGTGGGGGAGTAGAGATGTTGGCTGGATGATGAAGTTGGCATTGGCAGGGACACATAGTCTGGCGGAGGAGGTGAGGACGATAGAGGAAGGCCCGACCCAGATAGAGGAGCATGAGCAACTGATGGGAGGAATGTACTTGCTCACCAACACGCTCCTGCAGGGGAACTTTAGCCAGAGGAGCGCCGCGAGTTCAGAGAAGGGCGAGCTTCTTATTCCTGAGAGTCAGGGCGACGAGTTCGAAGAGGGAGAGATCAGGGAGGCCTTCCGTGGTGAGGAGTATGACGGGATCTATCGGGAATTGGGGTTACTCGTGTCATGCGAAATAAGGGATAGGGACGCTAGTGCTAAAGCCCAGAAGATGAGGCATCTCTACGTAGTAAGGGACGACCATCTGTTTATAAAGCGACAGGTTGGGAACCCAAAGAGGATCGTATGTGGGAGGAACCGACAGATCGATGTCATAGCGACGTTACACGATGGTATAGCAGGAGGGCACAGAGGGGTTAGTGCCACGTGCGCAAAGATACGTGAGTTATACCATTGGGATGGAATGCTGACTATGGTCATCAAGTACTGCCAGTCCTGTGTACCCTGCCAACAGAGGTCATGCAAAGGTCGGGGGAGCCTCTGCACCCCAGACTAGAGAGGGAAGTAGGTGCAGTCGTACACCTGGACCTATTGTTCATGCCACTTGGGGAGGACGGAAGTAACTATATCTTCGATGCACGGGACAACCTTACCGGGTTCGTGGACGGTCGGGCTATACGTACGAAAACCGGCCCAGTTTTAGCAAGGTGCATCGAAGAGTACTACTTGCGCTATCCATTTGTCAGAGAGTTTGTGATGGACCGGGGATCGGAGTTTACGTGTAACGAGGTGCGGACCTTGCTTGCGGGATACGGCATGGTAGCAAACTACACTACTGTCACGCACCCCCAGGCAAACGCGCCTGTGGAAAGGGGGCATAGTACCATCACGAATCTCCTGGCCAAATGGACTGAGGGAAAGCCTAACAAGTGGTTGAAATTCCTTAGAGCAGCATTCTTCGTAGAGAATGTTACATTGAAAAGGACTACCAAGTATGTGTCAGCCACACTATGGTATGGAAGATATGACACCTTTCCCATAGAAAGCTTTATGAAAACGTGGAGGCGCCAGGACCTGGAAGTGAACCTGTCATTTGAAGAACTGCTCGATATACGGGCGCAACAGGTGGGAGCCATATGGAAGATAAAATGAGGTGGGACCAGATGGCCCGAATAAGGAAGGATCCGCTGAAGGTTGGAGATGTGGTGCTGCTGTATGACTCCTCGCTGGAGAAGCAATGGTCTAGGAAACTCGACAAGCGGTGGCTGGGACCCTATAGGATCGTGCGGTGTGGCGAGTTTGGGGCCTACCAAATTGAGGAGTTGGATGAGGCAGGATGGCAGGACTGGGTATCAGGAACAAGGCTGAAGAAGTTTGTGGTCAAGGAATAGGTAAGGGGCCACGAGGCCTCGTTAGGAATAGAGTCTTGCCTAGGTATTACCCAGGTCAGGTGACTAGATAGGTGGGTGATAGGGGTGGATGGGTGTGGAAAGTATGTGGGATTTCCCTAGACTAATGGCTCAGTTGCTGACCCTGTTGTGTGCCTGTTTGCTGTCTCTCGCCTGTTGTGCAGGTCTGACTTTTCGAAGGCAGTCATGCAGAGGGGCGGGAGGGACACACGGCCACGTCAGGGACTCCAAAGGATGGCGGGAGGAGGCGAGCAGCACGAGCTGCATAGGAGGGAGCCCACGCCGGAGTTTGATGACGACAACATTGAGCTCTTCTTGGACGTATATCGGGACCATGCGGCACAGAGAGGGCGGAGAGGATTCACCACTTGAGGGGTATAGGGCGGTTCGAGGAGCCTGTCGCTCAGATATGTGAGGAGGCCTTGACTTGGCCAGACGTGGAGGCCGGGATGCAGAGGTTGAGAGCTTCCCCTAGGGGGCGTGATGGCATGCCCATTCGATTGGAGGGGGGAACGCAGATGAGTTCATCCCTGCATATGAGCACTACATGTTGAGTCTGGGGGTTGCGCAGGGGGAATGGGTGCAGACCCTACTTATCTGGACGAGGCAAGCAGAGAAGCAGGCGGTTAAGCAGATTCGGGAAAGGGCTCGAGACTGAGAGGACTGTCAGGCCCAGCTCAGGAGAATGTTCGGACGGCCACAGCACGAGAGGCACGAGCCCAGAGTTGAGAGGCGACGACGAAGCAAGAGGCCAAGGGAACCGGCACCGAGAGAGGCGGGGCCGACCAGAGAGAGGAGGGGAGCCCCAGCCCAGCGGGAGGATGAGCCCGCAGGGCCCGCATTGGCAGAGGAGTCGTTCCCTGCTTGTAGCCTCCGAGCGGTTGAGTTTCGGCGGATTACGAGCGAGGAATTGAGGCCGCCCTCGCCACTGCCATCAATGCAGGAGCTGGACATACCAAGAGTGACGCCATTCCGAAGCTTAGCTACTCATCTCGATGTATCCCAATGGGAGGCCTCACGGTTGGGAGAGGGCTCAGTTGAGCCGGCATGCTACGTGCCATTGGAGGAGCCCCTCGACCCCGAGATGGAGACAGACATGCAAGACCGAGAGGAGCCGCAAGATCCTGAGATGGCAGCCGAGCGGCCGGATCCGGTGCAACCTCAGAGTAGAGAGGTGATCACGGTTGGGGACGATATCCCTCCATGCTCCCCAGCTCCAGAGCCAGCACAACGTTCATGGCCAGAGGGGATTCCTGAGCCTGGCAGTGAGGAGATCCCGGAGTTTCCCCCTGAGGCCACCACTATACCTGAGCAGGAGGCAGAGGCGGAGGACCAGGGTCTGTGTGAGAGAGCGAGGATGGAGGCGCCCCTTGACTTGCCCTCGGCCACGCAGGTGACCAAGAGCCCGGACATCGAGGAACCCGTTTCAGCAGAGTTACCGTCAGTAGTGTCGCGCGCGAGCGAAGGGATGGAGGCGGAGGCGTCGACTCCAGGAGACCACGGGCCGCGAGTGGGAGGAACCCCAAGAGAGACCCGCGAGGAGAAGTTCGCCCGAGTGCAGGTCCGTCTGGACGAGATATACGCAAGATAGGCTGAGATGGAGGCGGCAGGGATAGAGCCGACACCGCCGGTCGAGCCCAAGACAAATGAGCAGAGGATCGACGAGTTGTGGGCTAGGTATGAGAGCCAGAGGGATGCAGCCCGCCAGAGGTCACGAGAGGCAGGACGGGCGGACGAGGAGACGAGTGGGCTGAGAGAGATGGGGGACTTGGGGTTCTCCGCGACCAGGCAGGCGATTGAGCGTATGGGTCGGAGGGTATGCGAGACGACAGTCACATCTTTCCAGTGGTATAATCTGCTCAACAATGAGCTCAGGGTTAAGGAGTTGGAGGTAGAGCACCTAACTACTCAGCTTGCCGAGGAGGGGGTGAGGAGCCAGGCCAGAGAGGTTGAGTGGGAGAGGAGATTTGGGGAGATGGCGGCCGCTATGGATAGGCTCTCAGCAGCCTGGGAGGCTAGCCAGGCAGGGCCAGCCGGTGCTGATAGCCAGGGCCGTGGGATGCAGGCGTCACCGAATCAGGGAGTAGCAGTGGAGGTCCCTCGTCAGGCCGAGCCGAGCCGATGGAGGAGGCGCCCTTGGACGCAGTCGAGGAGGAGAGTGGCGCGCAGGAGTCGCTTATGGCTATGTCTACGGAGAGGAGAGGTTCACGCTTGCATGAGCTGGCGGCAGCCATGGGGATAGGCACTCCACAGGAGGGGCCTCAGGGACTCGACGCTCCAGAGCATGCCCCGAGGTTGGGGGAGTTGAGGGCGGAGCTGGGCTCCTGGGCCACGGGGACCAACTCAAGAGGGCCTGACTCGCGACGGCAGCAACAGCAGGAGGTCATGAGTGAGCCCGCCGCTATGGGGGGCTCTCAGCTGTCAGGAGTATGTAGGGATGAGGCGATGATGACAGAGAGGGCGCATGAGGAGGGACCCCGAGAGTTGGATACGCCAGAGCGCGGGCCAGAGAGTGCGGTTGCACGAGGGGGTGAGGGTGCTGAGGTTATGGAGCCTGGACCTCGGGGCCATGTGGGGTTGCCCTCGTGTCATGAGGTGACTACTGAGACCGTGGGGGCGCCTTCGACATCGAGTTCGCAGGGGAGAAAAAAGAAGACTGCCAGGTGGCACGATACCTCCTGTTTTTGGTGCAAGGAGGGAGGGCATAGAGCCGTGGACTGTCCAGAGCTCCTTGAGGATAAGGCCGAGGGGCGAGTTGCGGAGGTCGACGGCAAGTCCTATGACAGACAGGGCATGATAGTGGAGCGAGCTCCAGATGGGGGCAGGGCTCAATTGTATAGGCAGAACCAGGAGGAATTGTGTAAGTAGGGACCGGTCTGTCCATATATTGGTGGGACTAGAGATCCTTGACACACACAAGGCGGGGTTAGGGGTGTACATATTTTGAGTCAGTCGAGAGGGCCCTAGATGTGTGTGTGTGTAGGAGTGGTGGGATGAGTTTCTATCCGATTGTACATATGTGTTTGACTCTTGTTCATTTGTTTCCTTCTGAGTTTCTTCATGGGCTACGACCCAGGGGTAAGACTCGGCTGTGTGATATATGGGACCATTTAGTTACATTTGGTTTTGTGGTTCAGAAGCTATTGCTGCTCTGAACGGGATTTGGGAGTTTACAACACTCGGGATATGAGTTTCCCAGCAGGGGAGGATAGGGGCTGACCGTTCTGCGGATGTTAGGTGGATGCTATGTCCCCGAGTGTATTTGGTGAGTGTATAGTGGGGTTATGAGTCCTACTCAGACAGGCAGGGTATTGAGTGGAGTGCTTGTATTCGGCTGTTGGGGGAGGCATTCTACTCCCTGAGTGTACTATGAGTTGAGATCCTGTGGGACTTGTTTTGTGACGATCACTATCATTCTCACATGTGTGGATTTATCTCGATAAGTGTTTGGCTTTATGTGAGAGATGTACAGGATACATCGCATGAGCATGATTGTGTAAAACGTAAAGCTGTCTACCCTCCGGTATACTCGTGCGGTCTGCTACAAGCGGACGAGAAGGTAGAGTATAAGGAGGGGGAGTGCAGCCTGTTTGTGAAAAACTGTGAAAATCCTACGGGATTAATAAATTTAGGAATTTGTATGTTTTGTTATACTAAACATCGTTGCCTAAATTGTGTAGGGACCCAGAAGGTGGTCCCTCAACATGAGTTGTTTGATGATTAAGACCCCCTTCATGGTTCTGGAAGGTGGGAATTGCATTGTATGGAGGCCCCTTCATGGTTCTGGAAGAGGTCGGGTGAGGAGTCATCCCATAAAGAGGATGACCGGGAAATCTTTTATGAGAGGCGCCCCTTACTAAAGTAAGGGCGAGTAAAAAGTTGACTGGTATGGAAAGCATTGTTTGTATTGATAAAGTCTGACGAGAAGGGACCATGTTTGCTTGAAGCATTTAAAAAGGGCGAGAGATGCCTCAGGATGGGCGGCTGCTGGCTCTGATCAAGTCAGGAGCCGCGACCATGTGAATCTGGCAGGGATGGTTTGTGATTGAGCGAAGGATGCCGTGCCTATTATAGGAGGGTCCGTAAATGCCTTCAGACCCCTGCGTAGTCCCGCAGCGACCTGTGAGTTTGTTTGTGACGCCCCGCCTGACCACCTGTGCTAATTTTGAGACATATTTAAAGGAATACCAAGCTAACGGTAAAGCTTAGTGCCACCTGAGCGCAACCCCTAGTGGATGACTGCTAGCCGGCGCAAACTGGCTGCGGGCCCGCAAGGTAAGAGTTTAAGGGGAGTTGCCCGCCTCAGGGAAATTACTTCGCGGGATAAGAGTCGAGTCCTTTGGAGACCCTGATTGATTGATTATCAGGGAAATACATGTCGTTGTATAACCAGCGGGAGGATACCGCCGCTAAGGTAACAACGTGGTGGGCCGTAGACCTGGCCCGATCAGCCAGGCTACAGTGGGCCCAGATGGGGACCTGGCATTTCTGTACTAGACTGTAGAGAAGCCCGAGAGAGGCTACAAGCTTATATGTGCGTATTTTTTTTGACTATGAGGAATTTGTTGAAGAAGGCAAAAAATACCTTCATAGGTCTCATTCGGAGCCCGCGTCCCTAGTTATGGCTCTGCTTACGACAAAGAGGCTAACTGGGACACCCAACGAGAGGCCGGCGGTTGTCTAGGACGAAGGGGGAGAGGAAGGTTTGAAGACCTTTGGAACTTATGCTGTAGTATTGACGTATAATACACCGGCGTCCTGGTGTCAGGACAATTGAGACCGAGGTTGAAACCCTGGCAGCATATAGTTGTGTCGACACGGTTTGATGGAGGCCTCGACCCTGAGTCTATCGGCTAATCGGATTGGTTCTGATCTCGTCTATCGCTTTTTGATCTGGCGACGCGACGGGGACGTCGCTTAATATGGTCCGGTAAGCGCGAATACCCTTACAAGGGTATCCGCCCTGGTTTTTGCAAGTGACAGAAAGGCTTGGTTAACCTGGATCTTGAGTCCCCGTGCGGAAAAATGTGAGGGTCGCCCTCACGTAGGCAAGGGTCTGCCTTGTCCCGGTAGGGAGTACGTGGGCGCACAATTTTAAGGCGCACGTGTGATTTTTCTGATTGAGTGGGCGGCCGGGGTAGCCGACCGACCCATACTAAAGCCATGAGATTGATTAGGGGGTGAAGGTCCCTTTCTTTGGTCGACGCGCGCGACCGACGGTAGGATTGGCGTGTCGGTAGGCGCATGGGACGGCCACGGCACGGGGCGGTGGCCCGGCGTGGACGCTTAGGGGCCGTGGGTACGAATGTGGGTCGAAAGGGTGGCCGGAGCGATATCCTGGCCCGGAGCACCGTGGGGTACCGCCTTGTAAGCAAAGCCGCGCCTGCTGGTCTCAGGCTTGGGCTTAACCCTATCGGTTACGGTATAGGACTATTGCAACGGAGGTACGGGGGTCGAGGCCAGCGGGCAGCGGCGCGAGAGCGATGGAGCGGCGAAAGCTGAGGGGTTGAGGGTCCCGCGGGACTATCCCCCTCAGTTTTTGTTGGGAGAGCCCGGACGCGGACCCACGCCAAAGGGTCTCTTTTTCTTACGGAAGGACCCACGGAGGCCTGCTCCTTCTTTTTC